GCATACACACATATACACACATACGTACATGCCTTCATGCATGCCTGTGAGCACTATAAGACATAAGCACGAGACTTACACATGCCATACCGGTTAATCTGGAGGATGCAGGTGTGGCGCTCAAGGGATGATGTGGCATATCTATGTATCAGAGCCGTTCTGCTCAATTCCCGCGATCTTCCAACTTCGAACCATGAGCAGCGGAACGTCCTTCTTTGGAGCGCTGGGGCTTTTGGGTCTGCTTAGGCTGGAGAAGTTCGGAGCACAGTGTCATGGGAGCCCAAGGCCTCGGTAGCCGGGCCGGTAGACGAAATCCGCAGGTGTGTGCAGAGCTGTACCAACTTGATTGTCTCCAAGGGAGCGCCGCATACCTAGTCAGAGACAAGCGGATGTAGCCGTGTCTCTCGTTTCCGATGGAAAGCTCAGGTCTACGGATGGTTCCACCTTGTTTTCCTACACGGCTGATTCCGGAAGTTTGCGGCGCAACTGCTTTAGGAACCACTACTGTAGCCTCAACAGTCAGCCTTCTCTGCAGTACGCAGGCGACAGACATCAAACTTCGGCCGCACCACAAGGTGCTTATGCATCCAAGGTATGGCACGCTGGGACATCTGCCGGCCGGACAGCACAAGCCTGACGAAAAGCGCCAGATCTGGGATTGGGACTCCGGAAAGTACCTGGGAGAGATTGATGAGGTTCCTTACACATACAATGCGCCTTGATTTGGTTTTGGGCCGACAGGCTACTCTGGACAAGTTGGCAAGCTTCCGCCGGCCAGTGCTTTCAGCACTTGAATAAGGTGATTGGAAACCTCAACGAACATGGGCTGGCCATCGGTGAAACAACTTTTGGTGGTAATGCGCCCGGTCAGCATTGTTCCGAAACGCTTTTGTTTCTGCAGCTAGAGAGATGTTCTGAGGAGACCTTGGGTGGAGGCGAGGGTGTGATGGATTATGGGAACTTGATTTGGGTAACGCTGCAGCGGAGCAAGACTGCTCGCGAAGCCATCCTGACATTCGACAAGCTTGTCAGCGAGTATGGCTATGTTTCAGACGGGGAGTCTTTCACGATCGCTGACCCAAACGAGGCATGCATGTAGTTGTGATGTTGCACGATTTGCGCTGCCACCCACGAATCAGTTTTCACTTGGTGCGCATCTTGTTTCGGAAGGTGTGGGTCCTTGAGATGATTGGTAAAGGCAAGTTTGAGAAAGGAGCAATATGGGTGGCAGTCCGAATTCCAGATGGACATGTCAGTGGGCATGCCAACCAAGCTCGCATTCAGAAGTTTCCGTTGAACGATTCTTCCGTGTGCGTCTACTCTGATGATGCACGCTCCTCAGTCGTTCAGCAGAGCAAAATCACCTGAACTTCATGAGTGGCCGTAGTCCATGACTTCGCTTGGATGAACGAGACTTATCCGGCACATGTACTCTTTGTTCAGAAATGTGGGACTGTCGTACTGGACAGTGTTCACAGGCAGGGCTTCTGCAGTTGCACATTTGCTCGGAAAGGGTGTGTGGCTGTCGAGTCTAGTCAACTCCTGGCCTGAGGCGAGGAATGGCAGGCACAGTTATAATCTTGCGAGGGGCATGTTCCGGAATGACTGGCATGCATCAAAAAGAATATAAATACGATTCAGATCGAAAAGAATACGAGCGGGAATACAAGTGGAAATACGAGCGGCAATCCAGCAGTACAAGAAAATACAAGACAAATACAAGCAAATCACAAGACAAATGCGAGCAGACATACAAGACGACCATGCCTCTGCAAAACGAATACAAGCGAGAATACAAGAAAAAATACAAGAGACATACAAGTGAAACGAATACAAAAATACAAGAGATAATTCCAGATAAAATACAAGATAAATAAGAGAAAAACACTACAAGAGGAATACAAGAATAATACAATAACAACACAAGAGGACATGTACGAAAAGACATAAGGTCATCAGCTTCGCTGAGAAAGTTGGACTGTGGGATAGCAGCCGGAAGAAGGAGGACTTCAGCTTTGCTGACACCTATGACCCCATCACTTTTTCTGGAGCACGCCTGAGCGATGCCAGAGTGTGGTCTTTCTTATCCAGGGTCGCTGCAGACCGCAGCTTTGAGAAGACATATGAGAACTATGTGCTTGGCCACAACGTTTCAGCTGCTGCTCGCATGCCTCTTTCTGTTGAAGCTGGTGCGAAGATATCTGTGCTTGACCTGATGTCCTACATGCGAAACCATTACGACTCCTGGATGAAGGCGGCAAGGTGTTGCTAAGATGTTTTCTGCAAACATCACTGCTCAGGAAGGCACGGTGCTCGACTCCCGCAGCGACGTGGGGGCAGGACCTCTGAGCTGGTCAACATGTATGATGCCGATGTATCTCCAGTCTGACAGGACCTTCAGGTTCTCCTTTCAGGGTCAGGCCTCTCGAGTGGCAACTCGGAGCCGACGCGTACGTCCACGAGCGCAGCGTTGGCACGCCCCAGGTTCGGCAAAGACAAGCTGCCGGCACTGTCCGCAGCATCCCACGCCCTGGTGTAAGCAGGCTGGATGGAACTTCATCGCCCAGCTTCGATCATGGCTTCCACCAGCTATTGGCGGGCTGCTCTGGTTTGGAGTCGATGACGCATCATTCTCAGTGCATGCTCCTTTTCATGGCCTCTTGGATGTTATGCTGTCGAAAAGTAGCCGCGGGGTTGCTGTCATGCCACGTCATGCCACAATACGACCATAAGTGGACCATAAGACAGCTTTGATCTTTGAACATCACAGGCGGTACAACGCGAGTTCCCCACAGCTATGCCGATGGAAACGGCGATGCTCTGACGTTCTCCAGGGACTCTGCATTTTGGGCATTCAATACCGTGGCGAACTTTCTGTACCCCAGGCACAGCGGCAAGCCTGCAATCTTTTGTGGCGCGTGGTGCCGGAGTGGAGCGAGAGAGAGAGAGAGAGAGAGAGAGAGAAAGATGCACACAACAAGGGGGAGATAACATGCTAGTAGGAGTGTTGTATTCTGTGGTACCTGTGTTGTGGGGGACAAATGACTCCTCGCAGTTGTGCGAGCAGCAATATGCTGCCAGATGGCACACAGAGCAGGCTTTCAGCCTATGACGAGGCCGGGGGATCAAACTAGGTAGCAGGGGGTCTAAGGGTTCAACAGTGTTTCATCCTCGGCCTCATCGAACAGTGAAGTCTTACAACCGAAGACAACCAGGGCGCGTTCGCGCGCAGCGGGAGTGCATGCGCGCTCTCCTTTGGCTGTGCAGAAGAAGAAAGATAGGGGGAAACCCCTGCACCACAGCCCTGGCGAAAGAAAGAGAGAAAGATAGTCTTGTTGTTGCCTTGGCCCTGCTTTCAGCTGTGAACCCCATGCCCAGTGATACCGCAGACTTGTAGAGATCACTGATTTGACTTGTAAAGGTTCATCCGCTATAAGAAGGGAATTCAGGCACAAATTAACCCAAAAGCGCGGGATGCCATTTGCCTTCATGACTTGTTCCTTATTCCTCCTTGTCTGCACTTGAAGGCAAGTCGACATCCTCGTGCATGTTGCTGTGCGAGCGTACGACTGTCAAGCCTTTACTATAACACTCTACGGACCTTAGCCGCCTTAGCCTTTTGACGTTCTACGCTCGTTTC